CAGGAGGCTGCTGGCATCTAGCCAGGCCCTCGGGGCTGTCTGGGGCAGCCCAGGATTGGGGGGGCGGCCCGAGGGCCTCCTCTCCGAGGTGCAGCCCCGAATCTCTCTGGGTGCTGAGAAGAGTAAAGCAATGACAGAGCGGGGTGCTCGCAGATTCCAGCCCCCGCTGAGCATGTCAGGGTTCACTAGGAAGGAGAATGGCAGTCACTGGAGGGGTCCGTAACTGCCTCGCCACGCTCGTTAACCCAGGGCCATCAGTGGCAGCCCCTCACTCTGCTGAGTTACTTCTAGCAGACACGGGGCCGGAGAGCCAGTGGCAGGCCCACCCACCCCCTGGCTGCAGGGAACTGGCTCGCTCCAGCCGGATCGCTCCCTTGCCTCTCCTCTCTGCAGGGTTTCCAGCAGGAGCTTTGCACCAAGTCCCTGGCTCCAGGCACTGGGCGACGGATGGGCTGGCCAGGCCCGTTACCTGTTGCTGCTGTTTTCTGGCCAGCAAATGCTCTGGGTGGCCCTGCGGGGGAGGAGGATCGGGGAAGGCTGCTCCTGTGGTCTTGTTTATTTGTCAAACATCAAGGGGTCAGATGGCTTCAGCTGCTCCTGCCAGTCTCTGAGGGGTGAAGCCATGCCCTCCGTGTCACTCGGTTCCCTGGTCCACGGGAGGGAGGGTGCCTGATGCACGTGATCTGGCTTTTGCCCTCCCCGAGTCCCCGCTTCACTGTAACAGCCGATTTCCCGGGGCTCTCGGAGCCGTGTGGCCGCCTCTGGCACCTGCCTGTTCTATGCCCTGCAGGAAGGCCCCACTCACAGCCTGGCTCTGCCCCAGCTCTGCCCAGCCCAGCGGCCGGTCGGTGACCAGCTGCTGCAGAGGCAGGAGCCGGGCAGGGTTGGGTCGGTGGATGGGACCCACATGCCTGGGGTCTGCCCTGCCTTGAGCTGTGGAGATTGTCCATGGGAAGGGCTATTTCTTCCCAGCCCTGCAAGGCCCGGCGGACCACGTGGCAGCCTCCCCAGCAGGCATGTGGGAGCTTTGAAGGATCTCTGATAGCCTGGGTCATGGCGAAGAGGGCCGGCTAGTGCGGGCTCTGGCCCGGTCCCCCACCGGGTCACAGCCCTGGCTCGGGCTGCCAGCGCAGTGTAGGCCGGATGGGCGTTCTCTCACCGCAGCAGGGATGGAGGAGCTGCTGCTGCTTGTGGTATCTCTGTTGTCTGTGTCCCACCCTGGCCGGCTCGGTGGGACTGAGCTTTGCCCAGGCTCAGCTGGGCCCAGCTCCCCACCACCCACCCAAGGGACTGGCTTTTCCTGCTCTCTGAGCAGCTGGAGAAGACACAGGCCCTGCCTTCTTTGCGTGGGCACCAGGTCTCGTCCTGGGAGTGCCCCATGTCTCTCAGTTGTCCTGAGAGCCGCTGGTCAATCTTAGCATCCCAGCAGTGGGCCTGGCCGTGGCCCTGTCCCCAGAGGGCTACAGCGTGGGACCGCGTTCAGGCAGGGTGGTGGCGGTGGCTTCTGAGTTGTGGGCATGCAATGGAAGTGAGCTCCAATAGGAACCTTGGGCCGCCTGCAAGTTGCATTTGAGCAGGGGGCCCAGGTGCAGCGTTGCCATGGGGCCAAGTCCTAAGGCGGCTGCATGTGCTCCAGAGGGGAGGCATGTGGGCCAGATGACTGCAGAGCAGCGGTGTGCAGAAAGGTCACCAGACAGGGCAGTTCAGGGAGGAGCAGCTGCAGCGTGGGACAGCGTTGGGAGGACGGGTGGACATCTTATGAGCAACAAAACCAGCGTAGCTCCCACTGGCGTGACGCTGGTTGCAAAGCAGGCGATGGGGCTGATGTAAGCGTGGAGGGGCGTGAGGGGGACACAGGCAGGGCCTGCTACAAGAGGGGTGATTCTATGGGTACACTGAGCTGGCACGGGCCACCCCATGTGTGGCTTTTCCTGTCTGCACCAGGAACAGCCTGAAGGTGCTTTAGATGGAGTTTGCTAACATGAAGTGACACAGCAACTATCCGCAAGGACCACCTTCCTCCCTTTCCCCCCCGGGGGACCTGGGCAGCCATGCTCACTGCCCCAGTGTAACTGGGAGGGCAGGCCCAAGCCCAGAATCATGCGTCCCTTAGTGTGACGGTGCCCGAGACTGAGGCTTTCAGGGCAGGCAAGCCGTGGGGCTGCTTGAGGGGGGTGCAAAGGGATGCTGGGAGGTCTGTCCAATGGGCATTTTTTTGCCTCTTTCTCTGACGTTGCCTCTCCCTCAGCGGCCAGAGGGAGGGTTTAGCAATCGGCAGCCGCCCACCCTCCTGCCGCAGGCCTGGGCGTGGCACCGCAGCCAGAGAAAGTCGGCAGGAAGCAGCTGCTCGGCCAGGGCAGCGGGCTGGGGGGTTCCTCGACACCACAGTTGTGCAGCCATCTGGGATTTCTAACCGTTCCCCAAATCCTCTCCTCGCCCCAGGCGTTGCTGCCGATGGCTGGGATGTTCCAGCCTCTGGCTTCCGGAGCATGACCCGCGCTGCGTTGTCGGGCTGCGACTCCTGAGCTGTGAATGAAACCTCCCGGCTGGGGCCCATCTGCCTGACGGCTGCCCCTGGGACCCAGCATGTAGGTGACTCCAGCTGGCCTGGCCCGCTGCTCTCTGCACCTGGGCTTCATGCTCCCAACAGGACAGGTGGCTACTGTCCATGGGCCCCTGCACCTGGCAGCGCGGCACCTGGCTGCATGACCCTCCCAGGGCGATCATGCCTTTGAGAAGGGGTAGCAGGCCCTGCCCAGGGGTGTTGGCTCAAAGGGGACGCTTGCCCCTTCCTGGCTGCCAAGAGGCTCTCTCCCCAGGGTCTGGGCCCAGGGGCTTGCTGCCAGCAAGACTCTGCCCAGCTCCATCCAAACTTTTGCCTCCTTGAAACTGCCCCAGGGAGAGGCAGGCACAGGCCCGGGGGAGGGGGGGGAAACAGGTGAGTCGTGCTCAGGACACCCAGGATGGGGAGTTGCTGTGTCCTGCCCTGCCCAGCAGGACTGAGCTTTGCCCGGCTGGGCCCAGCCCACCCTCCGCAACGGACTGGCTCTTCCTGCTCTCTGAGCAGCTGCCCTGCCTTCTCCCGGCCCAGCCTGTGGCTCTCACTCCAGCTATTTGAGCCAGTCCCCAGCCCCAAGTCTGGCTTGGTTCAGAGACTCCCTGCAGCTCCTCAGGCTGCAGATCCCAGCCTGTTCCCCAGGCCTCTGGACTGCCTGGCCCTCCCAACCCCACGAGCTGAGGGGGTGCCCTCTCCTGAGCCTCCTTCCTCAGGGGTCTCCCCACAGGGCTGTCCCTGAGAGCCCCAGACCTGGCCTGAGCTAGACACACAACCTCCGGCGTTATTACCCGCCAGGTGGGGGAGCTGATCTTGGCAGGAGGGCTGAGGTCCCCTCCCCCTGATAAAGGACCAGCCAGCCTGGGGAGTGCCCTGCATGGCATGGCAGGGTGTGACACTGACGGGTCATGCTGGGCTTGGTGAGGGGGAGCCCCAAAGGGGACAGCTTCTCCCTGCAGAGGAGCCCTGGCACCTGGCCTGGCAGGGCAACGGGCACCACCAGCTGTGGAGAGAGGGGCATCAGCCATTGGCTGGGGCAGGGGGAGATTATGGCACTATCGAGCTCCTGAAATGATTTCTTCAAGTGTTTGTGCAGCAACAACAAAGCATCCATTTTTTTGTCCAAAAGGTGGCACCACTAATGGTAGGAAGGACCATGGCTGGAGGGGGCAGTGTCCTGATCCACTATGGCATGGGGGGAAGGTCCTGGGCTGGGGGTGTAGCAGCCTGATGCAGTATGGCATGTGGTGGGGGGTGTTCCTGGGCTGCAGGGGCGCAGTGCTCAATCCACTATGGCATGAGAGGGCAGCACTTTGATTTTAAATTAATGTAAGAAAAAGCAAAACGAAATGAAGTGTGCTCTGGCTGTGGCCAGGTGCTGTCCTTGCCCCCCCCCCCATGCCTGGCCCTGCAGGCCCCCTGCTCCATGGTGCATCCTTACGCCTGGGCTGTGGTGCAGGGAGACTCCCCCCTCACTCCCGTCATTCTGCCCTCCCGGCTGGCTGCTGGAGTGCACTGGCCCAGTGCTCCTCCCCCTCCCCTCGGAGGCCAGGGCAAACCACCCCCGCACTGGGCTGGGCAAGGCCAGCAGTCCCCTCCGCCTCCCTCGCTTGCTGCGAGGGTCTCCCTGGCTCTGAAGAGAGCCGAGCTCCACGGCTCCTGGGCCCCAGGGGCAACCCCCGCCCCCTTTCCTCTCTCCCAGCACGCACCTCTGCCCCTAAATCCTTAAAGGACCCATGATGTCCCAGAACAGGGGCTGACTGGCCCCATCCCCGCTACCCCTTAAAGACAACAGACACCCCCCTTACCCTGACCAATGACGCTATGCACACCCCTTTGCCCTTCTAAGGGGAACCTCCTTCCTCAGCGCCTGGATTCCCCGCTTGTTGGTCCTGCCTGAATTTGGGCTCTAAAGCCCTCAGAACAGGGAGTTTCTCTCCTCCTGCCCAGCTCACTTTTGGGAACCTGAAAATAACCTCAGGTGAACAGTGGGGGTGCTGGCACACATGGTCTGGTGCAGTCGTTTCCTCAGAGGTTGGGCACCGACCAGACTCTCATGAAATGCGGCACTGGGATTTTTTTTTATTTTTTTTTACAGTTTCTTTTACAGGGAGCTCTGGCAAGCAGCAGTGATGTTTGCTTTCTGCTTAACCTAACTAGGGTCAGTTCTTGGGGCAGAGTCGTTCCCTGGGAACTGTGCCCAGCCTGCATGCTGTTTGTGACCACCTCTGCTCCAGGCCTGCTGTGTACAGTGAAAATAATCAAACTGCACTAAGACTATATCCAGACTCAGCGTCATCCATATCTACTCCAACAAGAAGCCAACCCGCAGAGCCCTAGCATCTGTTACCACTTGGCAGAAGGCAGCAGTATAAAATAGGACATTAATCCTGGTTGTTTCTGCTCCTCTTTCTCTGGCAGCCCAGTGAAGGAAACGGAGACGCCGTTTTGAAATCAAGAGCTTATTTTACTGGACCGACTTGCTTTGCTTCCCAATTGGATCCGATCCATTCAGTGCACATTATGCAGAACTCAGCAGCGAGCTCTGGCTTCAGACTCTAGTCACAATTCATTTCTTGCCAGCAAGAAAACAAAGAGATAATAAATAGAAAGCTTATCGTTACAGGGGTCTGGAGGAAACAGCTTAGATTGTATATGTGTGCGCGTGCATGACATACCCCTCCCCCACGCCCCCCTTCCTGCCCCGGTGAGTCCCCAGAGCACGGGACACTTTGCAGACAGAGAAGCTGTAGGCCTCAGCGTGGCCCCTCTGGCTCTAGGGTGGGTGAGTACCAAGGATGGGGAAATGCTCCTGTGGCCATGCATGGCTAGGGCTAGAAGCGTGGCGAGGTGCCCCGGCGGGCGGGGGAGGGGGATATAGCAATCTCTATTTAAATTCCATTAAAATAGACTATTTTAAAAAATTATTTCTAATAGTTATAAAAACACCCCAGGCAGAGCCAGGCGGGCTGAGGCAGTGGCTGGCTCCCTGGGCACTGAGAACTGCCCGACGCGCCCCCAGGACCAATGGGACGTCAGGCTCTAGGGGGCACAGCCTGGCTGTCAGAGAAGGAAGAGGGTGCATCAAGGGCTGGGCAGGCCTCCCCCAGCGAGGTGGGGCTTCTCCAGCCTTGTACGACCCCGTATGCCCAGCGCACGGCATGCTGGCCTCATTGTTACACACTGGCAGGCGTCTTGGGGTGCTGCCATTTAGATTCCATCAGCACCTTCCTTCCTTTGCTCACGGAGGCAGCCAGCAGGGCTGACCCAGGCTGTTGGCCCTGGAGGCGGCAGTGGGCTGGGGAGGAGGCTGTGCGTGGCGTGAGCATGGCTCCCACTGCTCTTTGTGGCACTCTGCGCTGGCTTTGGCTTTCCTGCAGACCTTGCTGCCCCCGAGGAGCGGTGGTGACGGAGTCCCTGGTGCAGAGACCAGGGGAATATGGCTGTGTCCTGGGGCCAGTGGAGCAGGTTAGAGCAGCCCTGAGGATCACCCTAATTTGAGCCCCAATCACTGCGGCCCTATCCAAGACGTTGGACTGCCCTGCACTCGCCCAGAGCCTCACCAGCATCTGGAGATGGCGCTGGACCAGCTGGAGAGGCATTTCCCAGGGTGCTTTGCAGCCCCTCCGCATCCTTTCAGCCAGCAGATGCGAAGGAGTCCTGGTGGAAGCTGAAGTCTGGCCCTGGGCTGCTTCTGGTGCATGGCTGCAGTGGAGGGGAGGCTGGGTTCCTCCCCAGAACAGGAGCAGCTCAGCTGGCTTGTCTGAGCGTGTTGCTGGGGCCACTGAAGGAGCTGGCCGCGCTAGCTCCCCCTGGATGGTCCATGCAGCCGAGCAGCTCAGCCCCATACGGACCCCAGCCTGCGGCTGCCCTCTGCCAGCTGGTGATGTCGGACCTACCTTTGTGGGGTCTCGGGGGTCAGCATGAAGGCAGGAATTTTGCAGGAGCCTCCCTGCACAGAGCAGCATCCTGGGGAGAGCCCACTGCGCCGCTGCAGGGGGGAGCCGACAGCACCGGCAGCCGTCCCGGGTGGGCGAGGGGGCGCTCTCCATAAGATCGACCAGCCACGCAGCTCCCGCCCGGCCAGCGCACTCGGTCGCCGTCCGAGGGCCCACACGCGTGGCCATGTGAGGAAGCAGGTGCTCAACGCGCTCCCAAGGCAGGGCCCCGGGCCGAGGGAAGGGAGAGCAGGCGGGACAAGGCAGGACTGCGTCTCGGAGCCAGGAGAACAGCTGCGCTGTGGGAGCGAGAGACTGAGAACGAAAGCAGCATGTTGTTCCCCAGCCCTGCACCTGCCAGCAGCCCCTGACCTGGGGCCATGTTCCGCCACTTTCCTTCTTGGGCCCGGGCCCCAGAGTGTGGGCTGTGTCTAGATGACATGGCAGCAGTTGAACTGTCCCAGGGCCAGCAGGCTCTCCTTGGAGCTGGGCCGGATCTTGAAGGCCAGCGCCTTCTCGCACAGCGGGAACTGCAGGAGCCTGTCCTTCAGGTGGGCGCTCTTGTTTTTAGCAGGGTCTAACTTGATCACGTTGTCGGCCGCAGTTTCGCTGCCCGCGGTGCTGCCGCAGTGGGGGCTCTCAGCTGGGCACGCGGGCCTGTTGGAGGAGCCTGCGTCAGGGGGCCCGCCAAGTTTCTTGGACTTGTCTTCTGGAACTGGCGTCCCACCTGAAGTGGCTTGGAGGCTCCCCGAGCTCCCAGCAAAGCCAGCGACGGGGCCCTCACAGCTCCCTGGATACAGGACCTTGCCCGCTTGCCCCAGGCTGCCATCATCTTCCATTTCTGTGGTGGTGGTGGTGTCCTCCTCCGACCCCAAGCTGCCTTCAGCCTGGCACCTCTCCGGACCCGCTCCCCCACCCTCCCAGAGCTCTATGTCCCCCGTTGCCGCTGGCATCCCCCCAGGGAGGGGGCTGGGGGCGCTCTCCCCAATGCTCATGCTGAGCTTGTCCGTGGCCGCCCGTGCTGCACTGTGGCTTGGCGCCTCTCGGGGCTGCCCCAGCTCGCTCCTGGGACTCGGCACCCCCCTGAGAGGGGGCAGCTGCCAGCTGCTCCCTGGGCCCTGCTCCAAGAGGCCTGATTTGGTGGCCCCAAGGCTCTTCTCCCCCTTACTGTGGGCTACAGCCCCACGGCAGAACAAGAGGGAGACCTTGGAGCTCTGGAAATCTCGCATTTGCTCTTGGTTTAAAGAGGAGCTTCTCCTTCCCATTGCGTTGGCCTTCCCCTCCTCCTCTTCCTCCTCCTCTTCCTCCTCGCAGATCTGCTGCAGGGCCGGGGTGCTCTTGGCAATGGAGGAGTCCGCCAGAGCGGGACTGAGCAGGGCTCGGACCAGCTGCCCGTTTCCATGGAGGCCGGGGGCCGCATCGTCTTCCCCCAGGGCAGAAAAGGAAAGGGGCTTGCCAACTCTTTTCTCAGAAACCTCCACGGCAGCCCGAGGCTGGGGGCTGGAGAAAGCTGCCAGCCTATCTGGCAACTCTGCGAAGGGCGAAAGGTCCCTGGTGTCGCCCACGGTGCTGAACGGGTCCGACAGGTTGGCACTGAAAGAGAGGGGGGTGGGCCCAGGGTCATGCCCAGGGTGGGAGCTGCCAGCCGGGTGTAGCCCCTGTGGCAGGGTCACTAAGTGACCCTGGGCAACCCGCAGCATGGTCCAGAGTGGGGGCTAGTGGAGGCTTGGAAGCGAGGGTGGGACTGCGAGCGTGAGGTGGTGCTGCAGGCCGCTCAGCGTCAGATCGATACTACAGCTGCCCAGCCAGGACTCCCGGGCCCTGGCATGATGCCCAGGGCTGTGGACAGGAAAACCTGGGTGTCAGGTACCCCCACACCTGGCTCTGTGCCAGGCTGGATGCCAATCCCCTGCGGACAGGAGTCTGGGAGAGTTTAGGCCCCAGGGAAGCGTCACTACAGTCAGGGGGGCCAGGATTTTATCCCACATCCCGGGGCAGCTCCAGTGAAGGGACGTGATGCCATGCACAGCACGCTGTGGCCAGCGCCGCGGGCTCCCCCGCACAGAACGCCTGGCGGGCGGGGCGGGGCCGGATGTGCTTGTGGCTCCCGGGGGGGCGTCCCTGGCACTGAGCCATGGCCTGTCCCAGCCGGAGGACGCGGGCTCACCTGTCCTGCACCTGCTGGGCCAAGTTGTAGACCAAACTGAGCTTGTGGCTTTGCTTCTCCTGCTTCTCCCGGAGGATCCGCTCCGCCAGCAGGAAGTACGTGGCTGTGATGTGGTTGTAGCGATCGGCCTCCAGGGCCCTGGGGGGATGCAAGGCCCAGGTGAGAGCCGCACCCCGGAGGAAGCCTGCAGGCCCCAGCACAGCACAGTGCTACCAAAGAGAGGAGTATGAGAGCAGCATGCGGGGTGTGCCCCATGCTGGCTGCTCATGGCATAGGGCACAGCCAGAGCACTGAGCTCCGAGCCCCGGGCATGGCCCCACTGCCCCTTGATCTGCAGAGAACGGCCTGTACTGCCCTCCCCTTGCGCCCACCATGCTCCCTTGGTCTGCAGAGAACCTCTGCCCCCCGCCCCTTGATCTGCAGAGAATGGCCTGTCCTGCCCCCCAACCCCTGTGCCCACCCTGCTGCCCTGATCTGCAGGGAACACCCTACCTCCCTCCCCCATGCTCCTGGTCTGCAGGGAACCCCCTGCCATGCCCTCTCTTCCGGCAGAGAACCCTGTATTGCCCCCCAGCCTGCAGGGAACCCCCTGTCCTGCCCCCGGCCCTACAGGAAATGCCCTCTCACATCCAAAAGAGCAGCTGCCCTGTGTGTGTGTGGGGGGGTATCACTGGTGCCAGACGACCTGCCCCTCTCTTGCACAGGGTCTCCATCGCTCGTGCAAGGGCTGGGCTGGGGATAAGTCACTCAGCCAAGCCCTGTGCAGAGCTCCCTTCCCTCTGTCCACGAGGGACGGGGAGGAGATGCCAGGCCCAGGGCACCACACAGACAGGAGCCTGCCCAGAAATAGCCCAGAGGGAGATTGGTGCAGTGACCCGGCTGCACACCTCCCCCACCCCCGCCCGGCTGGCACTCACTCCTGGATGGCGTCCCGGTCCGCTATGTTCCCACACATCATGGCCTGGATGATGATGTCATGCTCCTCCTCGGACACCCGCTTGTGCGACGTGAGGGGCAGCAGGCAGCGGCTGGCTGGGGAGGGGTCCACACCCTGCAGCCAGGGGTGCACCTCAATCTGCTCTAGGGAGGCCCGCTGCTTGGGGTCCCGCTGCAGCATCCTGCCGATCAGGCTGCCAGAGAGCAGAGGGGGCAGGGTCACAAGCCAGCCCAGGAGTGAACAACCGGGGGACGCTGCCCCAGGCCCGCAGCAGCACCTGCAGCAGAGATGCACAGAGCCACAGGCTCTGAGGCCAGATGGGACCATCAAGTCTGAGCTGGAGAACCCACCCAGTGATCCCTGGGCCAGCCCGTAGCTCCAGGCCTAGCGTGGAAGCTGGGGGTCTTTCTCCAAGAGATGGAGAAGGCATCATGCCTCTGGGACAATTGTTCCACTGGCTCCCCTTCCTGGTGAAAACCTGCACCCTCCTTCCCTGCTGAAACTGAGCCCTCAGCTCTCCCTGGCAGGGGGGTGCACTGAGCTGGGCTGTGAACAGCCTGCCCCATGCCCCCCGCATGCCCTTGTGGATGGTGGCACTCGTCTGGCTGGGCCCCTGGAGCGCCGGACAGGCCCGGAGGAGAGGGGACTGGGGCTGCATACTCAGAACACTGCGCGGACACGTGGGGCGGGATGGTGTAGCGGCAGTCCATGATCATGGTCAGCGTCTCGCTGTCGTTGGCCTCCTGGAAGGGCGGCTGGCCGCACACCAGCATGTACAGGATGACACCCAGGCTCCAGACGTCTGCAGAGAGAAGGAGACACAGATTGCTCAGCCCACTGCAGCATCGAGCCAGGAGAGTCCAGCTGGGAGGGGGTGTGGGCTCCAGCAGGGGGGATGGAGCGAGCCACTGGGGCCGAGACGGCCCTGGCACACACCTGTCCAGGTCTACCCCCCTGCAGCCACAGCCCCAGCTCTGCAGCACAAACAGGTGTGAACCAGGCAAGCCCTGGGAGGAAGGAAACTTCCTAGAGGCCTGGCGAGGCCTCAGGCCTGACCTGCTCAGGTGAGTTGTGTGAGGAGCATGTGATGGAGCCAGCGAGGGGCTCCCTGCCCCGGCCCATGGCCTGGTTTGAGCCTGCCCGTTCTCAGCGCCGTCTTGCCTCCCGCCAGCATGCGCCCCACACAGCCCCGGCTGCACTAAGAGTCTGCAGAGAGCCTGAGCCCATCACTCTGATGGGGGGAGCTGCCCGGAGTTCAACTGACACAGGGATGCCACAGGGATGCTGCCTGGGTCTGCAGAGAGCGTGAGCCCATTGTTCCAAGAGGAGGGAGCTGCCCTGAGTGTAACCAACTCAGTGACACCTGCCTTTTCATCCCCCATCCCGCTCAGATCACACATAAACACCGAATAACCCCAGTGCTAGTGTGACACCTGGGGGCACTTTCTGCCGCCTTTCACCAGGAGGAAACTATATCTTCCTGCCCTTTGTTCGCGGCTTCTTGACCAGGTCCTGTTCTATAGAGAGTTATAACCCAGCTTCGTGGGAAACCCAGGGCTGGGATAAAGGGGGACGAAGGGACTGGCAGAACTGGGGAGGCGGGGGAACCCAGGTCAGGGATAGCAGGGGGCTGCAGGTGGGGATTGAGGGGACCAGCAGAGCAGTGAGAGGAAAGTCTGTATGTCACCTAAGTACACTGTGCTGCTCCAGCCAGCGTGTTTCTGCCCCATGTCGCCCCCACACGGACATTAACTATTACTGAATCCATCCCCAAAGGCTGCCTTGAGGCATGAGTGGGGAGGGCTGCAGGGGGGAGTCAGAGTCCACCTCCAGCTGAAGTGATTACCGGTTATTTATAGCATGGGGCTGTCTCTCCCGGGGGGCGGGGGCAGCTCAGCTGTCCAGGCACCAGGACTTGTGCGTCTGCTCACGCTCAGCGTGTGTGGAATGCTTTCCTGAGCAGGGAGGTGCGCAGCATGGGTCGGCCGAGGGAACTGCCCAGGGGAAGCCTCCAGGGAGCCGTGGGGCAGGGCAGAGTGTGTGTGCCCCACAACTGGGAAAAGGAATAAAGGAGCAGGGATTATGGGGGCCACAAGCCCACGTCATCCACAAAGCCCACATCAGCGCCTCTCGGGGCTGTAAGCTGCTCAGCCTCCCTGGGAAAGCGGATTGCATCCCAGAGGGGGCAGGGGGGTGAGTCCTGGTGTGGTGTGGTGGGGGGAAGGGCAGCAGCATCACACACAGACAGGGCCAGGCCCCCAGGGGAGCATGGGCTGGATCCTGGCACCCACTATTGGAGCACTGCTCAGGGGCATCTGTGCCATCCAGGCGCTGTTTGGTTCTGTGCCAGCCAGGGAGTGGGCTGTGAGAGGGTCAGTGGGGCTGGAGGCTCCATGCCAGTTGCGGGTGCAGCAGTGAACCCTAGAGCCGTGGGGGTGGCTGGAGAGGAGCACGAGGGGCCCACATCCAGCAACTGGGGAGCTTGCGAGGCTGTCGGGGACTGGAGCTTCCGTTGCCGTTCAGGGTGCTTGGGAGTGGCATGGAGTCATTCCTGGGCGATGCGGAGCTGTGTGGAGGGCAGGGCCTGGCTGTTCTGTGGGCAGTGGCTTGGGGCTGCCTCTGTCTGTTCCCCCTCTGGACTCCAGCCTGGCCCCAGATCTGCAGGTCACAGAGACAGGGAGACCACCCAAAGCTGGAGCTTGCTGTGCAGTTCTGTGCCAGGGCTTGTGCCCCATCTGTCCCCCCTCCCCCCGGCAGCACTCCCCTTGCTGGCCCAGCAGCACAGACTCCTGTCCCCCTCCGCTCACAGGCTGGGGCAGGGGGATCTCTGTACATCAGCAGAGCTGGGGAGGGGCAGGGTCCGGCCAGACCCACAGAGCTGTTGTGGGCCTCGCTGGGCTGGGACAGCTGCCCAGCCAGGCTCCTTGGAACAGGAAAGGCCCTTCCTGCCATAACCCTTCGGACTCAGCTCAGCACAGACTGTTCCCGAGCGCTTCCCATGCCCCAGTGACCCCCTCCCCAGAGCGGCCCCATGGACAGCACCAGCAGATGTGCCAGGCTCTGCCCAGGCCCTGCACTGCCTGTACCTCCGTGCCCCACAGAGACTTGGGCCAGGACACCTGCCACCATCTACAACCTGAGCCAGGAGTGCGCTGACAGGGGGGTTCTCCAGCAGTGGCTCCAGGGGCCCTGGTCACCCCCTTCCCTTGGGGCGATCACATCATCCCAGGGCGGCAGTGAATTGGGGTCACTGGCACAGGGATGGTGCAGAGACAGGACTAGAGGGAAAAGCTGCCTGCCCCTAGGGGAGGGGGCAGTCAAGGCCAGGTCTTTTTGCAACACGGCGGATGCCCCTGTGACTGCCAGGGCTCCGGCTCACGGAGGCCGGAAGGCTGGGCCAGGCTTTGCGTTACTGCCAGCAAACGGGCAGGCGCACCATGACACAAGGCCCCACCTGGGGGGTGGTGACAGGGCTCCCTTCCCCCACTGGGGCAGCAGCAGGGTCCCTCTGGACGGACACCCTAGCAGCTGGGTGCATTGACATAGGGGGTGGGGCCTGTTGTGCAACTCCTCCTGCTGGGGTGGGGCTGGCGGGGCCCCAGAGCAGTGAGACTGGGCATTACTAGCTGGAGCGGTTCCAGGGCAGGGATCTGGGCTGCAGGGGAGGAACCCGGCCCCAGGAAGGGCAGGAACCAAGGCTCGGAGTCAGCCCTCGGCAGGCAGTGAGCTCTCGCCCCAGCCTGGCCACCTCGAGCCAGCCTCTGCATCAGGGATGCAACAGCCCTGAACATGCCCCACGGTGCTGGAGGGGCCAATCAGCCTGGAGCAGGGGGGACACTGCTCCCTCAGGCGGGCAATGGGACCTGGCCTGTGTCACAGCATGTGTGGGAGGGGACCATCTCCCTCTGCTCCTTCTGGGTGCCTCACGCCCCCCCTGGGCCACAAGCCAGGGGGTTTGACCCTCCCAGTGCCAGCACAGACTCCTTTGCCCCAAGCCAGCCCCCCACCGGGCTCCACATACTCGCTGCTTGGTTGTCTTTGGGTACAAACTGCCCTGCCTCACCATGCCCCACCCGTCCTGCATGCCCCCACAAACCTGCCCTTTGCCCCGTTGTTCCCACCCTGGCCTCAGCCTCCTCCAACATGCTCCTCCCCAGCCTTGCTGCATCCCCAGCTCCCCCCAGCCTCACCATGCCCCTCCCCCCACTCCCTGCCCATTCCCCACACGCCACCTCCCATCCTGCCCCCTCCCTGCGTGGCCATGCTCTGCTCCCCCAACCCAGCTCCCCCCTGGGGTGGGGCAAGTACACTGTCACCTCCAGCCCTGACCCTCTCCCTTGCAGCCCGGGCCCAGCTCCACACAACCTTCCCGTCCAGTGGAAGGGCAGGGAGGCCTGTCACCTCGGCCTCAGCCCAACTGCACTGGACCCTCCTCACCCCAGCCCAGGCCAGGCCCTACGGGCACTCCAGCTAGTGGGGACTGGGGAGGCACCTGTCCGGTGTCACACTGCACCGTCCTCTTTTGGGCTGCTTTGTCCCCAGCCAGTATGGGGCCAAAACTGGACGTGGTGGCGGACCGGGGAGAGGGGGTGCTAACACCATTTCCAAGAGTGCCCCGCTCCGTCCCCACCAGCGTGATCCACGTGCGAGGTCAGGCCGGCGGGGGCGGGCAGCACCCTCTTGGAAACGGCATCCCCCATGTATATGAGGTCACACTGGGGGTGGAGTCACGGTGGGAGGTGGGGGCCACGCAGTTCCTGGAAGCGCCCGCATGTCTGGTGTTCTAGGCACCCGCCACCTCTCCAGCCCATCCGCCACTCCCCATTGAAGAGTCCAAGGGCTCGTTCCTGGTCTTCCTGTGCTCCACGGCTGGGCCCAGCGTCTCTAAAGGAGCATGAGGACTGGGGTGGACAGTTCCTGCACTTCAGGCCCTGGGGACTCTCCACCGCCAGGAGGACACAGAGCTTCCTCAGGGGCCAGCCCCAAGATGTGGAACGAGCTCCCCCAGGGCCATCCCAGATCTCCTGCTCCCACACAGCTGGGCACACAGCTCCATCTGGCCTGCTCCGATATCAGCCCCGACACTTACAAACAAAGCCCGCTGAGCACGCACAGCTCTCCCCTGGCACATGGAGAGAGAACGAGCCACAAGGGATGATTGGGGTCAGCCATGTCACTTAATGCTGGCCTGGAGAGCGTTCAGACACCATGGGATAAGAGCCTCCGTAGAACTGAACGGCGCGAGCCTCAAAGCCACATGCCCCTCTGCCCTCCCCCAGATTCCCCCATAGTTAACAGCACCTTGCCAGGCTGCACCCCACAGCACTTGGGTTCCCTGCATGGCTTTGTGCCAGGGCAGCACGGGCTAAACACACGGGAGCTCCCCCTCCACGCACATATTTGCGGTCATCTCCATACTTTGCCAGCAGCGATTTTATGTTTTCTTCCAGACGGCTGATAAAGGTATAGAACAGCACCGGCCCAAGAACAGAGCCCTGGGAGACCCATTCACAATTACGTTTTCAGATCTATCAGTTAGCCAGTTTTTAGTTCATTTAACATGGGCTACACTGATTTTGAAGAGTGCTAATTGTTTAATCATGTGGAATAAAGTCAAATGCTTCACAGAAGTCCAATTCAGTTATATCCACACAGTTACTGTATCAACCAAACTGGTGATATCAGCCTCCCCACGAGTTAGCCTGGGATCAGTGTCAGGCTAACCGAACTGTAGTTTCCCGGGTCACCATATGTACCCTTTGTAAACATCAGTACAACAATAGCTTTTCTCCAGTCCTCTGGAACTTCCCCAGCATTCCAAGTTTTGGTGAAAGTGAACACCAATGTCTCAGATACCTTCTCAGGTAATGCTTTTTATATTTTTAGATGCAAGTTATCTGGTCTTGCAGGTTTAAAAGGTTTTACTTTAGCAGCTGCTGTGAAACATTCTCCCTAGTTACTACTATAATAAAAAATAATTTCATTCCCCTGTGAGCCACGAATACATGACCCAGCTTCTTCCCAAATACAGAACGCAAATATTTTCTGAACACTCCTGCTTTTTCTGCATCATTATTGACAACTGTACCATCCCCAACTAGTATCAGACCAAGATCACTTCCAGGAATTCTGTTGTTCCTGATAGAGTAAACATTTCCTTTTTATTGTCCTTAACCTACTGGCCGTAGATTTTTCATCAATACTTTTAGCTTCCCATATCAACTGTCTGCATTTCTTAACTGCTAATTTATAGTAATTGCATCAACTTTCCCCATAATAATATATTATTAATATATTAATATTAATATATTATTAATATTATATATTATTAATATTAATAATAATATATTATTATTATTATTGCAGCTGTCACCTTCAGATTTAAAACACCCAAAAAACAACAGATTAAAAGGGAAGAAGCCTTCTTTCATGATTTTGGGATTGTGGTTTTTTAGGCATCTACTAAAATATTTAACAGCTCCAGGGCCTGCACTTGGGAGCCAGGGGCTAGCGGGTGGGAGAAGTGGCCAGTTGCACAGTACCCTGAGCCATCCACACCACAGCTGTTCTCAAGGACCATCGCCTGGGCACAGCCTGGGTCACTTGGGGTTCTGGGGTCACTGGGAGAGGAAGGGGAGCAAGCCCAGCACAGGGTCATAGAATCATAGAATCTCAGGGTTGGAAGGGACCTCAGGAGGTCATCTAGTCCAACCCCCTGCTCAAAGCAGGACCAATCCCCAATTAAATCATCCCAGCCAGGGCTTTCTCAAGCCTGACCTTAAAAACTTCTAAGGAAGGAGATTCTGCCACCTCCCTATGTAACACATTCCAGTGTTTCACCACCCTCCTAGTGAAAAAGTTTTTCCTAATATCCAACCTAAACCTCCCCCACTGCAACTTGAGACCATTACTCCTTGTCCTGTCCTCTTCTACCACTGAGAATAGTCTAGAATCATCCTCTTTGGAACCACCTCTCAGGTAGTTGAAAGCAGCTATCAAATCCCCCCTCATTCTTCTCTTCTGCAGACTAAACAATCCCAGTTCCCTCAGCCTCTCCTCATAAGTCATGTGTTCCAGACCCCTAATCATTTTTGTTGCCCTTCGCTGGACTCTCTCCAATTTATCCACATCCTTCTTGTAGTGCGGGGCCCAAAACTGGGTCACCGCACAGCTGCCTCCTGCAGACAGAGGGGAGGGGGCTGTGGGTGGCTCAGTTCCCTGGAGAGGACTCTTTTCTGCTTGAACAGAATAGATTAAATTAGATTGTGATCATTTGCACCTAGGCAACTGCTAATTTTTAATTCAGTGATCAATTCTTTCCCTGTCAGAATTAAGTCAGATACAGAACCACCCCCTGTTGGTTGCAATACCTTTTGAGCCTCTAAAAATTATAGCTGATCATTTTCAAACTCCCAGGATTCCCAATCATCATTCACATTTACATATTTAAATATCTCCTCCTACTCTGTTTTGCTCATGATTGTTTTCAGTTTGGGGAAGTTGGCCCTTTTAAAGAACCAAGTATGTATATGTGTGTGTATATATATATATATATATATATATTCCTGGGCGGGACTATATTCGGTCTGCACCTAGCCAATAACATTAAAGTCATGATCGCTTACACCGAGGCAACCATCAAATTTAATTCTATGCTCAATTCATCTGTATGAGGAATGACCCCAAGTTGGTTGCAAGAATTATTGAGTTAAAAAGTCATGTATAAATTTTAGAACCTTTCAAGGATATCTTACTAGTGGCAGCATGAAAGCTCCAGCATCTCTCCCCCTACCCCCACCCCAACAATGAAATCCCCCCCCGATAACACTGTCTTTCTTTCTACACATCGAGGGGGATTTTTAAGGAGCTGCTCATCCTGCTCCCTTGTCCGACTGGTCTCTATAACAGACGTCACCCAGTATCCTGCCTTGAACACATCATTAATACACTGACCCAGTTAATGCTTCATCGGATGCATCCGTTGAAATGAGCTGTAGCTCACGAAAGCTTATGCTCAAATAAATCTGCTAGTCTCTAAGGTGCCACAAGCCCTCCTGTTCTTTTTGCGAATACAGACTAACAGGGCTGCTTCTCTGAAGCAGGGTGTAACCAGTGATTTTAACATCCCTGTCACGTGACTCCTCCCACAGGGCTGAGTGACACCAATCATAGCCAATCTCAAATTCCTCCCTTGTTGCCCATGCTACATAAGCCTCTGCGTGCCTCAGGCCCCCTCCCCCCCCACAGGATAGCTGCCCCTGCCTTGCAAGGACCTTGGGAGGGGACGTCCACAAACTTGCGCGAGATGCTCAGGTCCCAGGCCGCCTGCAGCCTTATACACACACTGGTAATGAGAATGCGGGACATGCACCAAGCATGCCCATGGCGCGTCCCCAGCCTCCCATCACCAACCCTCACAGACGTGCCCACTCAGCGCTCTGGGCTGTGCCAGCCTCACCCAAACAACCTGGCAGGAGCCAGAAGCAGGCGGCCCTGGTCACTTACCTACGGCTGGGGCGTCATACTCATCCCCCAGCAGGATCTCGGGGGCCGAGTAGGCCAGCGAGCCGCAGCTCGTGGTGAGCATCTTGCCGGGCTGGAAGCGGTTGCTGAAGCCGAAGTCGGTGAGCTTGACCACGCCCTGCTCCCGGAAGAAGACCACATTCTCGGGCTTGAGGTCGCGGTGCACCACATGCAGCTTGTGGCAGTAGGAGATGGCGTGGACGATCTGGGCGAAGTAGTGCTTGGCGCGCCCCTCGGCCAGCCCGCCTTCGTGCCGCATGATGTGGTCGAACATGTCGCCGCCGTCCCCCAGCTCCAGGATGAGGTAGAGCTTGGAGTGGGTGTCGATGACCTCGTAGAGCCGCACCACGTTGGGGTGCTGCACCAGCTTCATGCAGCGCACCTCCTGCAGCAGCTGCCCCGCGGCGCTCACGTCCAGCTTGCTCTTGTCGATCACCTTCACCGCCACCTTCTCCCCCGTGAAGACGTGCCGCGCCAGCTTGACCACGGCAAAGTGGCCCTTGCCCAGCGTGCGCTCCAGGTCGTACAGGCCGGCGATCTTCCCTTCGTAGCAGCCCTTGGCCCCCGCCATGGCTGCACCGGAGTGTCACAGGGGGCCGGGCATCGGGGAGGCTGGGCACAATAGAGAAGCCACTGAGCACAGGGGGCACCAGGCACACTCCCTGCCCAAACACCACTGAACACAGCGGGAACCCCACTCCCCAAACACTCCACTGAGCACAGAGGGCACCAGGGAGCCCACTCCCCAAACACCCCACTGAGCACATGGGGAACCCTGACCTTTCCAGCCCCACACCCATCCATGTGCACAGCCCTTCACCCCCAGAGTGCCCTGAGCAATAGGACCCCACCCCCTCGGCCTACACTTGCACAGACGGAGCCCAGCTCTCCTTCACAGAGATCCTGGTTCTCTCACACGCCATGTGTTGCTGACTCTCACAGTGCAAGGAGCTGCCTGGGGTCATAAGAGGCACCCCGTAGGGAATGAACAGAACATTCCCAGCATCTGGCAGTCAGAGGTTTAGGGACTCCCAGAGCATGGGATTGTGTCCCAGACCATCTTGGCTAACAAGGACCATGACCGTATCTAATTGTTTTTTGAACCCATTTATACTTCTGGCCTTCACAACATCCCCAGCAAGGAGTCCCATAGGTTGTCTGTGCGATGTGTGCTCATGCCCATGGCCTGTGCAGGATGGCATGTGGCCAGGTGCCCCCATGCTGCTGGCACTGGGCTGCTGCCCAGCTCGGACCAGGCCTAAGCTCTTGCTCTGGGTTCCCATGGGGTCACACCTTGACCCCCAGAGCCTGGGGCCTCTTCTCCCCTCTGTGCTGAGCCTATAACTGCCCCGAGCTCCCCAGCCAGCCGTCTGCACGTAGCCACGCTGGGATGGGATTTCCAGCAGCTGCACAGCATGTTGGCCCAGAGGATCCCCCAGCCCCGCACACCACGGGGGTGTTACTGATTCACGTGAGGCACAGTGCTGGCCAGGTGCCACTGGGGGAGGGGTGCGGGTGCAAGAATCTTCCCCCCCTGCAGGTGCCAATGGAGGGGGGCGTTTAAAGGAGCTCCCCTATCCAGGCACCTAGGCATGTTTTTGCTCCAGCTTCAGCCCCAGGGAGCAGGGGCCCAGGCCGCGTGGTTCCAACTCCTGGTCACTGCAGGGCCGGGGGGGGAAGGGGGGGGCTTTCAATATTTTCCCCAACCAAACCGCTGGCGTGAGCGAGCTGTGGCAGCAGAAGGGAGGGGGGTGGTGGGAGCTCCTTAGTCCTAACCTGCAGCCCCCCCCTTACTCCAGCCGTGCCCTCCCCAGGTACGCTCACAGCTCTGCTGACACCCCTCAGCCCTGCCAGGCCAAGCCAGGCCCCTTGGTGTGCGGGGCAGCCAGGTGTTTTCAGACTGAGGGCTAAAGGCAGTGAGCACCCCGGTGCCAGACAGGTCGCGCCAGGCTGCCAACAGCAGGGGCAGGTAGCGTCACGCTAAGTGGGGGTGTTCACAGGGCCAGGGCCTGCACTTGGGAGCCAGGGGCTAGCGGGTGGGGGAAGTGGCCCGTTGCACAGTACCCTGAGCCATCCATCCTGTTGTCAAGGACCATCGCCTGGGCACAGCCTGGGTCACTTGGGGCCCTGGGGTCACTGGGAGAGGAAGGGGAGCGAGCCCAGCAGAGGGTCACCGCACAGCTGCCTCCTGCAGGCAGAGGGGAGGGGGGCTGTGGAAATCCCTCGCCGCCCTGGGGCTCTGACCCACCCCCAGCATCACAGTTGCGTGTCAGGGAACTGGGGTCCCCAGGATGGGTGGGGCTGCCGCCTGGGGGGCAGGACCCCGGGAACAACGTGTGGGGCAGGGCCTGCCACTGAACCGCCACGGCTCCTTGGGCTGGCGGCGAGCCCACGTTTGGGTGGCGGGCTCCCGGGGCACATTGTGCCGGCACACAGGGCGCCCGCTGCTGGGAGGGGGACTTCCTGGCATCCGGCCAGCAGATTTCCCTCGCCAGCACCGGCTGCGGTGCCGCCTCCCGCATCGCACGAAGAAGGGGGCGGGCAAGGGCACCGCACCCTCCGGGACGGGCTGACCGACAGGCTGGGCCCCGGGCCCCGCCAGCCATGGGTCGGCAGCCCAGCGCATCGCACAGGCTGAGCCAGGCTGGGTCAGGACTTGGGCAAGCGCCTTGCTGGGAGAACCAGGGCCCGGGGGGGGGGCGGCTCTCTCCCAGCAAGTGCCCAGCCAGCCCCGCAGCGCGCCCGGACACGGCTACGCGCCCCGAGCGCAGCCCCCAGGAGGGACCGGGGGCGCTGCCCCCAGAGCCGGGCGCCCTGCCCTGCCCTGCCCAGCCCTGCCCAGAGACGCGGCTCCCCTCCCGCTCTTCCCGCTCCGCGGCCGGGCAGCCTGGCAGGGAGCCCGGCCGGGCACGACCCCAGGGAGAGGCGCGAGCAGCAGCGCAGAGCCCCGGGCGAGCCCGGACTGGCCGGGTCTGTCTGCCCGGGCCGAGCAGGCCTCGGCCCCGCCACGGAGCCCCCCGGCCCCGGCCCCGGCCCCGCCACGGAGCCCCCGGCCCCGGGGCCCGACAGCACCGCGGGGCGCAGCGGCCTCTGCCGGGCGCGGGGCCCAGGCCGCCCCCGACTTACCCGGCTCCCGCTCGGGCTGCGCCCCGCGCCGCAGGCTGGGCTGGGTCCCCGCGCTGACGTCAGGAGCCCGGCGGGCGGCGCCGCGGAAAGGGGCCGGCGGGGCCGGGGCCGGGGCCGGGCGCTCGGGGGGCTCCTGCGGGCGCCGCTCGGCGGAGTCCCGGGCGGGGCGGAGCCGAGCCGAGCCGAGCCGAGCCCAGCCCGCCCCCTGCCGCGGGGCTGCGCAGAGAGCCGGGGGCTGGTCCCGCGGCCCCGATCCGGCAGGCCCGGGCGGGCAGCGGCTCCCCCGCCCCGCCCTGAGCCCCGGGGGGCCGATCGCGCCCCAGGGGCCGGCAGGTGCTGAGTCCCATTCACGAGAGTTTCACCGAGCCGCAGCCCTGCCCTGTGGACTGCCCCCGAGCAGGGGGTCCCAGGGCTTTCCGACTCCCAGCTCCATGACAGGAAGCCCCCAGAGGCCCCAAGATTTCTAGAGCCAGGAGCTGAACCCCAGCTAGAGTTGGGGATCCCTGGGCTTCCAGTTTCCCTGCTGCAGAGCTGGGTGCCTGGAAGTCCTGAGCGTCCAGGCTCCAGCTAGGTCTCCCAGGGCTTCTAGGCTCACAGCTTCACAGCCGGGAACCTGGCAGCCCCCAGGGCCTTCAGGCTCCCAACTCCACAGCCAGGAGCTGGGAAAGAGTGGGGCTGCCCTGGAGCCAAGGCCCCTAGAACCTTGTGGTCCCTGGGGCAGATGACGTGGCGGGGCTGCTCCTGCAGCCAGCCAGATTCCATTGGGATCCTGCCTGTGATTCAGAAGAAGTTCATTGAACCCAACTTGCTTTCATGAGAAACGTTGGGTTGGCCAAGCTAGCATTTTCCAGCAAGCATCTGTTCAATCAGAAAATCTCCAAGCAGCTCGAACTGATGGGTCCAGACAAGGGCAAACACCATAAACTAGACTGAAATCGCTGAAATGCCACGAGCACCTCTGTGCACAGCAGAAGTGCATGGAAAGTTGGGGCTTTTCCAGGTAGCGGATGATGGATTGACACACGATGCAATAGACCGTTCCAGCCACAGGCCTCTCCGAAGGAGACAAATAGTACAGTCTGTCTGGGGATGGTTTTCAAGGGTGTGGATACCTTCCTGCACTTGGAAGTCAATCCTGGGTTGAAACTGTTACAACAACCCCCCAGCAGAGTAGCGATTCCTTTGAAGAAGAAAATTAAACCACATTGGCAAGCTTGTGGAGATGGGAGTTTTAAAAAAAGTTACAAGACCAACAAACAGGAACAACAATATGGTAGCTATTAAGAAACAGGTCTCTTCTGTGTATGTATTGACCCCTTCCCCCTCTGCAAAGCTCTTCAGTGTTCCATTACCCCTTACCAGTAGATGAAGAAGAGATCCTGCCCAGACTCACAAAGTTAAGATGTGTTCCGTTTTAGGTGCCAAAGGTGGTTTCAGGCAGGTAAAACTTGCTTAAGAAAGCTCGGGTGGCTTTCTAGGCTTGTTCTGGCAGACAGAGATGACTGCAAATGTCATTTGGCATTTCTCTTGTCCCAGAAGTGTGCCTGAGATGTTGCCATGCAGCTCTAATGGGGCTAGAGGGGTTGGTGTAGATTAGCATTTGGTTGTGCAGACTCTCCTGATCAGAATCATAACCTGATACAGAGTGCACTTGGTGAATCCCACACCAGATAAGAAACCCATGAGACTGCCTGTCAGCTGCGCTGTGTATCGGACTCCTGACAGGAGAGGGAAGGGTTGAGCAGTTCCAGATGTGCCCTGTGCACACAACGTGCAAGACACACACAGCTCTGGGGGATTTGCTAATGATCTGTCTGAGTTCCCGACACACCTCCCTGCTCAGTGAACCCACAAGGAGACTGATCAATGAAAATGCTAGTTGGTGCTGGGAATTTCGAACAGCTCCAGAAGGTAGTGATTAGCCAACTGGTCCTGCCATAGTATGAGGTAAAGGAACCTGTAACTATCACGTGGGATGCAGTGAACATGGACTGGGAGCAGTGTTATTACTGGCCAGTCTGTAGCAGTGTTATTTTGGCCAGTCAGATGGCCAGTCTGTAGCCTTTGCTACCAGGACACTGTTTGTACCAGAGCCAAACTGTGCTCACACAGACAAGGAAAGCCTAGCCATTTTGAATGCACTAAGTCTGACCAGTCCCTCCTGGGACGTGATCTAAGCCACGTGGGCACAAGTCACAGATCTGCAGAGCCCATCTTCCAAAAGCTGTTGTTATCAGCTCCAGAACATCTCCCAAAGCATGTCAGCTACAATCCAAACCATCGCATGTGTGCACAATACAAACGGGTCTGTGATGGTCGGTGCAGACTGTCCATCTGGAGCAGCAGGAACACAACAGACGGTGATGCTGACTCCCTTGAATATGAAATCCTCACAATTCACCAAGAGGAGGAGTTTCATCAGGAATCTGAACACCTCAGCCAAGTAGAATTCCTTCATGTGACAGCCCAGGAGCTTCTGCAGACACAGAGACCTATCTGCACAGATAGTGCACTTCCAGCAAGCCACTGTGTCAGGATGGCACTCCAAGAAAGAACAAGGAATACTTGTGGCACCTTAGAGACTAACAAATTTATTTGAGCATAAGCTTTCATGGGCTAAAGCCCACTTCATCAGACGCATGCAGTGGAAAATACAGTAGGAAGATATAGATATACAGAGAACATGATAAAATGGGGTTTGCCATACCAACTCTTAACAGATCAATCGATTAAGGTGAGCTATTATCAGCAGGAGGAAAAAAAACATTTGTAGTGATAATCAGGCTGGCCCATTTCAAACAGTTGACAAGAAGGTGTGAGTAACAGTAGGGGGAAATTAGCATGGGGAAATAGTTTTAGTTAGTGTAATGACTCATCCACTCCCAGTCTTTATTCAAGCCTAATTTAATGGTGTCCAGTTTGCAGATTAATTCCAGTTCTGCTGTTTCTCCTTGGAGTCTATTTTTGAAGTTTTTTTGTTGAATAATTGCGACTTTTAGGTCTGTAATTGAGTGCCCAGGGAGAGTGAAGCGTTCTCCAACTGGTTTTTGAATGTTATAATTCTTGACGTCTGATCTGTGTCCATTTATTCTTTTGCGTAGAGACTGTCCGGTCTGGCCAATGAGAAGAAAGAAGAGAAGCCACTTAGTACTGTATTGGTGAATATCGGTCAGCCAGCGAAGAACTCCGTACCAAATGGCGCTCCCTAGAAAGGCAGTCGGGTCAAAATGCCCAAAACCACAGGCACTGACTTTTGGGTTTGCCGGTGGGAGCTTTCCACCTTTCCCTTTCACTGGGCACCATGCACATGCTCCTGCACCTACTTGTGGCTCGTGGGTGCTGAACGCTGCCTTTTTTTTTATGGGTGCTTGGGCCCCAGAGCACCCACAGAGTTGGCACCTATGCCTAAAGACATGCATCCTGAAATGCTCACCCCAGGCGTCGTTGTACTGAAGCAAGGCCGCAGAAAGCCCTGTTTTGGCCCAACATGAGCTGTGAAGTGAAAGATTTCATAAGCCAGTGCAGTCTCTGCAATGGGTTCCTTGCAGTTCAGCAAAAGGAATTACTCGTGATGCACGCAATACCTGATGAAGCTAGGTATGGACTGCTGTGCAGTGGGAGATCATGTCTCCCTGGTGACGGCTGAGCGCTGTTTGGGTTCTTGGGAACCAGATCCCTTACGCTACACACAGCAGCGTCCTGCACAGCTGCGCGTTTCGAGTGTGGAACTCCCGAGGCTGTTGGCCTGTTGGGAATGTGCACAGTCTGTCGCCTCAGCAGAACTGAATAGATCACACGCTCCCTGCGTCGCAGTCAGTCTAATGGCAACGCAGGAGTGGCTCTCCTAACTGCCGAGAAACTGTTCAAAAAGGCACGATAGAGACCCCCGGACAGCGTTACTGGACTGCAGAAATACCCCCAGAGCAGGCCTGGGCCCGCTCCGTGCAGCTCCTCATGTCACGTGGCACACACACGGCACAGCAGCTGCAGGAACGGTGACAGAACAAGTCAAACCACCGTGACAAGAAACCACATCCTGGTGAGAGAGGCACCAGAGGACCCCTGGGACAGCTGATGAGGCAGCCACTCAGCTACAGCATCTAGTGACACAGACAAGTTAGGGGGCAAGGATGTGGGCGCAAAGAGTCGCACCAAGGTCATACACGGTAGAAACACAAACACACCAGTATCACTGCAGCCATTATCTCCCAAGAACAGCTAAGGAAGAGTTGCCCTCAGGGGATTCCCCACACAGATGCAGGATGGTGTGTGCCTTATTTCTGTGCTTTCTGGCATTCAGAGTTTAAGTTTAGCCAACTCCACGTTCCCGGGTGGGGCCAGGAAGGGGGGATCTGCCCCCCAGGGCACGGACAGGGGGTGGGGGGCAGGTGGCCACTTGGGAAAGTTCAGCCTCCTGGAGGTACAAGTCTCCTGGTTTGTAGCCAGGGCCGTTTCTCCGCTGGAGCTCAGCCACGGGGGAAGGTTCTGGCGGTGGAAAGCGAGGGGTCTGTCAGGCAGTAGGGCTAGTACTTGGGGACTTCAGAAATCACTGCAGCCAACATTTGGGAAGCTGGGACCTGGTGCCGCTAACAGGTGATGTAAGGGGGATAGACAGCTGGGTGTCATCTGCGTGCTGCTCTGTCCTCTGTTAGCTCAGCGTGGAGGGGCCGGTCCTGGCTTGAGCTGGTTACGTCTGAAGAATAGCATATCCTTTCCAGACTGAGGCAAAATCATGATTCATGGTCATTTTTTGCTGTTATTCTTCATAACTGGAAGTTTTGCCTTCAGCAGGTTCTGGTGAGCGGTGTTCTCTTTCAGAGAAACTCACTGGTTTTCCACCATCTATTGTTTTCAAGGGGTCTGAGACCCAGTGTTGCTGACTCTCACTCCGCAAGTCTCACAATATTTGGGGGTTTTTTTCCAAGCCCCAGTTCCGGGAGTCAGATGAGAATTTCTACTTGCATTTTGCTTAAAGTGAGTTTCTAGCCTTCAGGTGGCAGAAAATAGCTTGGAAACATCACCTCAGTGTAACCCTCCAGGATATGAGACCAGAAGGCCAATGAAAAGAGCCCACTTTTTGTAATTTTTAAAATTTTCTTGATTTTTAAGC